CGCTACTCGTACCGTCGGTACGGTACGTAGTTTCCTTTACCGTACAGCACCTGTCGCAAAAGACGAAAGCGATGGGAGGAAGTGAAGTCCCTCGGATCGGACGAATTTCCGACTCGAACTCGAACTCGAACTCGAACTCGTACTCGAACTCGTAGTCCATCGAAACCAACACAAACCTGTTCCGAGAGCGGAGGCCAGCCACCGTTCCACCGAAGATCGGGTAGAGAGCTAGCTCTCCGAACACTCACGGGGGTCCACGCCGTCCACGTCCCATTCGCAACCACACCACACCGCACCAACCACACCAACGAACGCCAAGATGCTTCCATCGAATCCGTGGTCTTTCGCGTTCTGCTGCCTCCTRGCCGCGACGCTCTGCTGCGAGACCGCCGTCTCGTTTGCGTGCCCACCGGTGGCGTCGCGACCCACAAAGCCCCCCGGGATCCGTTCCCGCCACCGCGCGGCCGTTGCTCTCGGCGGAACGGCGGCGGGCAGCAGCAGCAGCAGCAGCGAAAGCAGCAGCGAAAGCCCTCCCGCTGCCCCGTGGTCCGAGGCCGAGGAATGCCTCGGCGTGCTGCGGGACGCCATCGACGGGAACCCGGCGGAGGCGGCGGGGGTCCTCCTGTCCAGGATTTCCGGGGGAGACCGGGAGGCCCTCCTCGACGGGCTGCTGGCCTCCGGTCCGGACGCCCGCCTGCCGGCCTGGACGAGGCTCCGACCCCTGGCCCGGACCTCGGAGAGGGCCCGGATGAGGGTCCTCCGCCGGACCCTCGACCGGATCTCCCCCCCGGCGTCGGGCCCGGGGGAGGACACGGCCGAGCGGAGGACCGAGCGCAGGAGGCGCGCCCTCGTCTCGCTGCTCCGCTCGCTCTCCTCGGAGGATAAGCCGGCAGGTCGCCGCCCCGCGATCGTGGAACTGGAACAGAGAGCCGCCGGGGCCTCGAGGGAGTCCGCCACCGACCTGGTGTCCCGCAGGCCGGAGGGACTCGAAACCCCCGACTACGAAATCCTCGCGTCGGGAAGGGAGGGAAAGGCCAGCGCCAGCGGCCTGCCCAGGAACCTGGAGATCCGCCGCTACAAGCCCTACTCGGTCTGCGCCGTGGCCATGGGCAGGCCCCGCCCGAGCGACCCCTCGAGGACCGACGCYAAACTCGGCGCGCCGGAGCTCAAGGGAGCGAGCTCGTTCGGGGCCCTGGCGGGCTACCTCTTCGGCAAGAACGACCGGTCCGCGGCGATGAAGATGACCACGCCCGTCTTTACCACCGGCGCACCGGTGGACGGCGGCAACGGCGACGGCGACGACCGGGAGATGGAATTCGTCCTGCCGTCGAGCTACTGGGGACCGCAAAACCTTTCCGGTGCCCCCGTGCCGCTCGAGGGAAGCGGCGTCGTGCTCAAAGAGAAGGGGGCCGAGGACCGGGCCGTTCTGATGTTTGGCGGCTACGCCTCCAAGAAGGAAGCCGAGAAGCGCACGGCCGAGCTGCTAAGGGCGCTGTCGAAAAACGGCTGCGGGTGGAGCCCCGTCGGGGAGACGGAGAGCCTGGCCCAGTACAACGACCCCTTCACGGTGCCCTGGCGCCGCCTCAACGAGGTGTCCGTCCGGGTGGTGGAAGAGGGCGGCCGGTAAAAGCAGAGAATGCACAGAGAGAGAGAGAGAGAGAGAGGGAGGGAACTAAAACTAGACACAAATACAGTAAAACAATTTTTAACGACACTGTGTCCTCGCGACGAGATAGGCATGCTCAACAAAGGTTTCTCTACTAGGTTTGTTTGTTTCGCAATCTACCACACCAGGGACGGCCTGGGCAGCCCTGCTCCGTTCTGCGCTGTGCCCGGCGTCTCGTTGTGTTTTGTTTCCTTTCCTTTCCTTTCCTTTCCTTTTGTTTCGTCGTACCCCGCGCCGCCGGATCGTTGCGTGGTGCTCAGTTCGTCTTCTTGCCGCTTTCCCTCTTCCCCCCCAGGAACTCGTCGCTCGGGTCCACGAGCCTTCCCTTGGTCCGCTCCAGCCGGTCGCGGAGGGCCGACAGGTTGGGCTGCTTCCAGAGGCCCCCCCGGACGTCCCGGAGCCCCCGCAGCTTCTCGTTGACCCCCTTCGGGTCGGCCAGGGACCCCGGGCAGCCCCGGGCCAGGAGCCAGGCGTAGGCCACCGCACCGGACCGCCCGTGGCCGGCCCGGCAGTGCACGTAGACGGACTTCCCCCTGGCCCGGTACCGCTCCAGGAAGGAGAGGGCGGCGATCAGGTCCTCCTGCGACGGCTCGAAGTGGTCCGTCGTGGGCAGGTAGAGTTCCTCGATGCCGAGCTTCTCGTACTCCCCGAGGGGCCCCCTCCACTCCTCGCACATGTTGATGACCCCCTCCACGCCATAGTCCTCCCGGAGCTTCCTGGGGTAGCCCAGCAGGGGGAGCGGGGCCCCTCCCAGGACGAGCGTCTCGTCGATTCGGGTCACCCACCTGCCGATCCGCTTCGAGGCCGTGATGGGCAGGGTCGGATAGAASAGGACCTTGCTCACGATCGAGGCCAGGGGCCGGGGGAGCACCTTGCTCTGGTTCAGGACGTACAGGGTGACCGTGACCCCCAGCGCGGTCTTCAGCGCCAGGCCGGCGATGCGGGGGACCAGGAGGGTCCCGGCGTCCTTCCACGAGAGGGGGGGGATCGGGTCCTCCCTGGGTSTCCCGAGGGGCGGCGGATGGGCCGCGGAGGGATTGCTCGAGYCGGGCTTCATTTTGTCGCGGGTGTTGTGGGCTCGTTGTATGTCCTGCGGTTGGGGGACGGGATCTTGTGTGTTGTGTTGCGGTGTGATGCGATGCGTGGTGATGCGTGGTGATGCGTTGTGATGCGTGGTGTTGTGTTGTCTGCTCGCTCGATAGCAACCTTGGGTTTGGAGATAGCAACCTTGGGTTTGGAGATACCAACAAGATGTCTGGGTCGTGTTTCTTCTACGGTATGTTCGAATGCCAAAACGTCTCGTCGTCATTTCTGGTACGGTATTTCGGCGGCTTCCGAGAGATTTTTCTGTGCGCTACGGATAGAACACCAAAGCTACTAAAAAACAAAAAATACTACTGGACCGCAACGTACGTACTGGTACTGAACGTAGATCTTTGTGATGTTCACATTCTTTTCATTCCGAGACAAAATCTTTCGTACCGTACGTACCTTTACTACACAAAGTCGTAGATAGTACGTAGTGTACTGTATATGGTACGAAATGTACGCACGCTACACCAGACAAGAACATCCAACACATTCCATCTCATCGCAAGATCGCGCAACGTTCTTGTTCTATTACCAGCCATACCTCTGCCGGATTTGGGAAAAGTGGTGTGTCGTTCGAGACTAGGACAACCGGCATCTGTATCGTTATCGACCCAACAAACCGTCGAACCACTGGTTTGGTTTCGTTACGTTTCGTTTCGCTTCGTTTCGTTTGCTTTAGTGGAAAGAGATCGACGGTCACCCCCGGAGGCAAACGCAACTACTGCCGCCCCGTGTTTGCCACCATCCGACACCACCTTCGATGCGAGCTAGAACCCTCGTGGCTGCACTCGGCACAAGGAACATTGCAAGGGCATCCACGCCGCTGTTCTTTGGCGGATTCCTGAGAAGCCCGTTCGGTACGACCGCCGCCGCCGCCGCTGCTGCCACCACCCAGAGGGCAAGCGTTGCCATGCCGGTTTCCACCGAGGCAGCGACAACGACAGCGGCCAAAACGCCGGCGCACCCGATCGCCGCCGTCGCCCAGCTCCGGTCGACCTCGGACAAGTTCCGAAACCTCCTCGACGTGGCGCACTGCGCGGGGCTGGCCCGATCGAGGGGGGCTTCCATGCTCTTTCTGCCCGAGTGCTTTGGATTTATGGGCGAGTCCGCGGAGCAGACGCTCCGGGAGGCCGAGGATCCCTCCCGGCTGGAGGCCGCCGGTGGGGGCGGCCCCGGCGGGGAGCTGGCCGCCGCGCTGGAGGCGGCCGTCCGCGGTGCCGCGGCCGGAACGGCTCCCGGGGGGACAACGGGGGTTCCCTCGCCTCCGGTGGACTCCCTGTTGGACGGCCTCCGGACCATCGCCAGGGCCAGCGGCCTCTGGATTTCCGGGGGAGGTGTCCACGTTTCGGGGGCACCGCCCGAAGACGGCAGCAAGGAGGGAAGACCGCGGGTCTACAACACCCACGTCGTTCTGGACGCGGACGGCGCCCTCAGGGCTTCCTACCAAAAGATCCATCTCTTCGACGTGTCGATCCCGGGAAAGGTCGACCTGCGGGAGAGCCGGACGACCGCACCGGGGACCAGGCTCGTGGTCTGCAATTCTCCCGTGGGCAGGCTGGGCGTCACGACCTGCTACGACATGCGGTTTCCGGAGGTGTACACGGAACTCGTGGGCACCATGGGGGCACAGGTTCTCCTGCTGCCCTCGGCCTTTACCGTCCCAACGGGGGCCGCGCACTGGCACACGCTGCTGAGAGGTGAGTGGGCGAACAAGCCACAAACCGTGGCTCTGCCGCGATGAYYCGCAYTGTATTGTGTTGTGCAGTGTTGTGTTGTGTGGTTGGAAYGATTCGGAGACACGAAGAAACGACCGAACGACCGACCGAAGGAACCGGTTCCGCTCTCACGAACGCAATKTTCCATCCATCGCCCCAACATCTCTAGCCCGCGCCATCGAAAACCAATGCTATGTGCTCGCGGCAGCTCAGTACGGAAGACACAATGCAAGAAGGGACAGCTTTGGTCACTCTTTGGTAAGCGCAATTTGATCACGTGGTGGTTGCACGAAAGATTGCSAATGTGGTACGAGCATTCAGGCTCGAAACAGCACCGCCTGGTTTCGTCTTCTCGGCTCCCGAACGCCCTGACCACCATTCTTTGTTGCGCGCATTTCCTTCAGGCCGTTGATCCTTGGGGCAAGATCCTTGCCGATGCCGGTGGATACCCGACCGCGGAAGAAGCAGAAACCGGTCAGGATGATCGAACGACGCCAGAACCCCCCAGCATTGTCACGGCCGAAATAGATTTGTCTCGGATAGATTCGATTCGGCAGCGGATGCCCATCGACCTTCACCGTTCCAGTGCACGGTTCTAAACGAATAGTTGTCCGTTGTTCTRTTGTCACGGGGTCGCTTTTCCCTTCCATCTACCAGGGGCCAGCAGACGCGCCGGGTGAAACACCGAAAAGACTCGTCTCGATCTCGTCGYTAGTATTTGGCACTAGTATTGCTTCCGAACAAATATGACCTAGAAAGAGCAACCATTCACTGTTCGACCGATGAGGAAGATCACAGATCTCWCATAGGTTTGCACATAGACCAAACCACCAGACGACGTCTCCGAAGTCTAATAGTAGCTAGTACTTCAGCTGCGTGTAGTGGTACGCTAGTGTCAAAATTCTTATTCTAAATTGCAAGAAGTACCTGCTAGTAGCTACGAGGTTGGCCGTGGTGTTCTATCTCCAAATTTGGAACTGTGAATTGGACAWGGACAATCGTTGTGCTTACCTTGCTACTGATACTAATGTATCGAAAGTACGAGTACGTACTTTACGTACTACTTTGTCCTTAAAGTACGTACGTACCGTACGTACAAGTAATACGGAAGAACCACTACAACGTACGTTGCACCATTACACTTTGCATTTTGGGCTGTCGTTTTCGTGAAGAGTTTCACCATMGATTCAACATGTTTTGGTGTAACGAGCTGCAAGGACGTACGGGAATCGAAAAAATGTACGTGCAGTACAGTAGTATCTTCTTCGAAATTGGTTCCTTCGTGATTCGTTATTACGTACCGCGTAGTACGATATTGGATGCACAAACTCAGATCACAATTCGACCACACAACAAAATCTCATCGTTGACGGTTAATTGCATCAACAACAAACCGAAATGGTTCCGGAGTCCCCCGCTTCCCCGCCAGAAAACGGTGCTAGGAATGACTCAGCACCATCGATGAGTGATCGTGATGAATTGGCAGCGAGAGACGCTCTGTCCTCGGGACTTAATGCTCGTTCCGTCGTTGGAAAAGGCATGGAGAGATTCTCTGCCCTTGTGAACGACAATATCGTAGCTGCGCGGTATGGCGTTTTTGCCACTGTTGCTCTCTTGACAGTGAGTCCCACCAATATTGATGTGTTAATTGTGGATTCCATRTCGTTGTTTTTGCTGCCACTCCGCGTCAGACAAAACCCTCACTTATGTGGATTGTACCGTATCGAAGGCGTACGGAATCTCGAATACTCCCCTCTTTTTTCGGTATCGCAACGTGGCAGAAATTCCCAAATCATTTTTCATCGGAAGGCGGCGTTTGTATTGCCGAGTTGTTGGCGTTCACCGTGATTTGAACCCATATCATGCTACGGGAGGACTCGAAGATTCGTCAATCCAGATAACTGTTCGGCATTTATCACCGATTGGCATGCTATTGCCCACATCTTGGTTTGAATCGCTGATGAGAATAAGCCCATCTAGAGGTAGTCTCACGCGAGATTTGACGAAAGGGAGTGGTAAAGCCGAAGWGAGCAAAAATGAAACTTTGAGATTGCAAATTGCTGGAGTGTTGGCACCACCAGTTTTTCGTGAATCATACGACCCTGCACAAGTTTTGGAGCGTCTCGCGAAAGATCGCACTCTAGTTTCTTGTCAACTATTGGGCCGAGAGGTTTTGAAACCAATAAAAGAACGCAATAAATCAGTTTTTTCAGAAAGCAATCAACAATCATCATCCAGCGTCAGTGAAAGCAATGGTGCTATTTCTTTTGATGACACTTTTGCCCCAAACAATGAAGTTCCATCGGTGTTGGATTATCACCAAGTGGCATTATGTAGAATTTCATATCGGCCACAAATATTGCAAGTATTTCCGACGGATTTGGCTGAAGCATTGGTAAAGGCGGGCAGTGCCAGTGTTGCTTCCGACCTTCTTTTTCGATCTTCCCCCTCGACTATACAAAACTCAAAAAAAGAAATCGTCGATACATCGCATCGTATTCAAGACATTCGACAAGATTTGAAGTACTTGGATAGACTAGCAGTGTCGGAATTTGAGAGCGCACAAAAATCCAGTGGCATGTGGTCTGTTCAAGAGGTCCGAGAAATTAAAAAAGATATAACAGACGAAGTCCACTTTCAAGCAAATGCAAGCCTGATTCGCAAGATATGGAGAAGAATACGAGGAGAATAAAATAAAAATGTCTTCGCATAAGAAACCGTCCAGTGCTCATATAATTTATCGTGGAATCTGCAAATTTCATTTTCGTCTATGCATTTAAAGTATTGATGAATTTTTKATCTTGCCAAACTGATTTTGTTCAAACACCACTTGTTCCTTTGTAGGTCATCATCCAATACAGAAATACCACAACGAATACGACAAAGAGAATCATATAGCACATGTGCTTTCCGGAGCTTGTATCCAACATGATCCCGATCCTTGCCAGACTCGACTGGAGCATGTCACCCGTATTTAAGAAGCCCTCGCCCATTTTATCCAACAATGAGTTTTGCTCTCGAACCTCGGTGCCAATATCTACAGTAAGACCCTTTTCGTGGTTTGATTTGCACATGATGTTTGGAAAGACAACAATAACGGTAAGAATCAAGACCATCACAAACTCGCCATTTTTGCAACAGTCGGTTGATCAGAACTTACCTTTAGTCGAGCCACTTGTTCGCTCAGTTCTGATATCCGATCGTTGTTTTGTTGTTCGAGGATGTTTGTATTGGCATCATTGAATCTTCCGCCGCCTTCAATATCTCTCCCRTAACCTCCAGAACCAGAACGAGAATACATATTTGAATTGCTATGACCGTTCGAATTATTTCTCCGTTGGTGCATGGGATTCGATGAGTTCATGTACAACAACGTCGTTGATACAGGCAATAGGGCGCTTAATTTAATTCACTAGATTCAGCTATGCCGGACCGAAACAAGACACGGTACAATTATTTTCAATAAGCAGTGAATATTTGTCTTCGCTTGGTGAGACATGACAAAAAAGGCTTTCGATATATTTGTTGCAATAGTTACGGGTCYGTAGTATGTCGTAGCCTGAAGGTTTTTGTGGAAAAAACGTTACAGGAGTCAAAAAAATTTAAAATTGTCTCGGCACGTTTACTTTTTCTGTACCGGCCGGTACTGTGTACCCTGTACTCAAATAGAGCAGTACTTATAGAGCAGTACTTACTTGTGTTGATTTGACACGTAGTTATGTTTCGTTCAATAACATTTATTAAAATTAAGGATGGAGTGTCAAAAGGGAAACCAATGCGGAGGTTCCCATSACTACTAAATTAATGATATTATAATTAGCAAAGAAYTCAGCGCAGAATTTACAGGGGGGTGGGGGGTTAGYTTCCAATTATTCTCCTGGTGGTGGCCCAGACCGACCAATTCTGTTTCTTTCGTCTCAGGAGCAGGCAACAAGTCATGATTAATTGCTGTTGTTCTTGTAAACCAGCATGGTGTTGAAGATCTCATTTTTGTGGTCTCACAATTTGTACTTTCTCTGGCAATGCCCCCATCTATCATTCTATTTGGTCTTCAGCTAGAGCCAACCACCTTGAGGAAAGGTTGCTGTTGCAACTAGTAAGAAGGGCAAGAACAGGCTATCACCAGGTGCTGCACTTATGTCAGCAGCAGATTGGATGCTATTGCTGACTATGATACTTTGGTGTCGACATAGAATGAAAAGGAAGTATTACTAGGTAATATGTTTACAGCAAAGTTGCTTATCTTCTCTRCAGTATAACAATCTTTTCAGAACAATTTTCTCTCATAAAATATAGAACCTGTCAAGCAGCCCGGCCCRCCCGTTGAGGCACAAAACAAAACAGAAAATCAGTAATGATAAAATGACCATAYTAGTTCAAATAGAATCTCGGGTAATGAAATAATGCTGAGTAGGTTTTGTGGGAGTGACTGTCCTAAAAGAGATGTAAAGTGTGTGCTAGTAGAAAAGTGAGTCGATGCTCTTATCGAGGATCGACGAACTATGAAATCTAGAATGGATCGCTGTGGGGATCGAGTGAGATGTGAATCGAATGAGTCGAGTAACTCACGCAAGTGAATGGAATGAGTCATGTMGATCATATGAATCCTAGGGGATCGCGTGAATCATATATGTATGGTGTGTATGAATCATAGATACGTATCGTATGTATGTGTCGTATGTATGAATCATACCCACGGTCTGATATCCTACGGACAACAGGTTTCAATTATCAATTTACTTCATGCTTCCGCATGTTTGCGGTTTTTGAAGAGCCGAAGGCGCGTCTCGAGAAGAGGTTGGAGTGCATTGACTTGTGTCGTTTCCATTGACCTAAATATTCCATTCGGAACAGACGTGATATTTCAACACCATCTTGGTCTAGTTATCAACACGAAAAGAAACCCAGGCTGGTATTGGTGGTAATTCTCGTTGAATTTGTTCCGATGATCAATGATGCAAAAGTCGACCCTCCTTCTGGTTYCACACGTATTCCCGACACAATGAATCAGACGAAGGGTCCCAATCATGTGCACGTGCCACAGACAATGGAAAAATATGCTTCTATTATTGTCGCTTGACACAAAAGGAGTATTAAACCCAAACCCACTACTATACGGTAGCACAACACATCTTTTATTCTTCGAAACAGGAATGCAACCACTTTTTGACCTCGGGATAGATCACATCACTCTGAGTTCCACGGAAGGTTTTCAGAACTCCGTTTCGTTCGTAGTACTCAACCAAAGGAGAGGTAGCTTGGTCATACAGTTCAAGACGCGCTTGAACGGTTTCGGGCTTGTCATCGTGGCGTTGCACCAAAGGTTCTCCGGTCTCGTCGTCGATACCTTGAACCTTCGGAGGCTTATACGAGTAGGAATATATGCGACCWGAGGGTTCGTGAATCCATCTAAAAGAAATYCGTGCAATTTCAAAGTGAGCAATAAATTGGTATCAGATTTATAAATACACAATTCAAACTCGTGGTCATGCATCGCTTACCTGTCAGATAATCGTTCGACAATTGTTTCGTTTGGAACGTCCAAGTTCACGACCATATCAACGTGGATGCTGCTCTCCAGTGCTTCAGCTTGCCCAACGGTTCTCGGAAACCCATCGAGCAGAAGCGACTCGCCCTTTTCAAGGTACGGTGCGGATTCTTCCACAACAAGATTAATCATTAGTTTATCTGGTACGAGTTTTCCTTCTTTCATAAATTTGGCAGCTTCTAATCCAAGCGTTGTTTCCTCCCGAACATGGCTTCGGAGGATGTCGCCGGTAGAAATGTGGTGAAATTTCGGAAAGTCCTGTGTAGGATGCATGAATTATGAACAACGGAAGATCATTTCAGAGTAAGAACAAAATGAATTCGGAATGTAGAAGTGTTCCAATTGCAAGGTTTTGTTTGAAGAATTTTGTCGACAAGACCGGACGTTGCGATCCGACGGAGTTCACGAAATAGAAAACCGAAATAAACCAGATCTCTTCCTGGTTCGGTTGTTTGGTTGCACCTTCGAACATACCTTCAAGATCTTTCCAGATATTGTTCCCTTTCCTCCACCCGGTTTTCCAAGGATTAATGCAAAACGACTTTCTTCCTCTGCTTCCATCACCTGCACTGATGACATGGGTCGATCGTTAACAGTGGATATACTCTTCGACACAATTGATCCATCCCTAAAGAAGAGCTTTCCCGTCGTCGATGATGTGACACCCCGTCGAAGCTGATGACGAAACGACGCATAATGCCGCAAGGTTACTTTCGCCGCAAACATTTCGATTTCGTGTTTTTCAATCGTCTGCGCGTTCCGCTTGTGGCCTRKCTTTTGGTAACGACCTCTCTTGATTCTCCTGGGTGAAGTAACCCATGGATTTTCTTTGACGAGAAATGGTCGACTTTTCCTTCGAACAACTTGTGATGATGAACAAGAAAACTTGGGAGCCGTCGGCGACCAACACCGTACTGTACCGTACGTACCCAATTATTAATGTTGGTACTCTTAGCGTAGCGAACAATAAAGCTAGTACCGGTAATGGCGCGGTAAGTTGTTATGATAAATACCCTACTAAGTAGTACTATTATGATCTACACGTTTCAGGGAAGAGCTGAGAACAAAAATGCAAAATTCCTTCAATGCATCCCGCCACCGAAGTGAAGTTTTGAAACCTTGTGTCGATGACGAGGTAGAATTTCGATATTCATAGATCGGAATTAAAAGTGTGATGACGTCACAGAATATATCTATAATCAAGTCTGAAGATATAAATACTGATTGATAGCTTCTCGTTCCCAATTTTCAATAATCAATTTTGACATGCGGTACCGTAGGGCAGAACGCTTTAGGTTCCAACATGCCCAAACTACGAGGGTAAGACGAGGCGACGAAAATGCAAAGTACGTAGTACAAATTTAGTCCCTTGTCACTTCCTCTGTCCCACAATGACCATACTGTGACTCATTTTCTGCCATCCCTGAATGATAGTCCCCTAACTAAGTACACAGTAGGATACTGTACAATCACTACCAGAAACATTTTTTCACTGTTAAATTGATTGCAACTAAATGATATTACTACTGAACTACTCTTCTGCCTGCAGTGTTGGCTTCTGCTTCAGGCAGCTTGTGCCACCAGTACTAGCTACTAGTACTAGTAACACACCACACCCCACCCTAGATTGATGCGATCTGTATCGCAAATGATTGAAATTGGAACACCARTACCTTCTCTCATTAGCCTTGCTTTGTCCATGTGCAGGAGCCTGTTGTTGTCACCATTTACACCAAGAGATACTTCCATACAAGCCTGGAGGGACAAAAACACATTATTCAACATTTCACGCTTGTTGCACTCATCAAATGCTTCCTCCACATTGGTGATCAAATGGTCAATATCCTTTGAACACTTCTTATACTGTAAGCTCTGAATTGAATTGAANTGAATTGAATTGAAGAATCCCCCAAGGTCAAGTACATTCAAGTCCAGACTATTTGGTGGTTGAGTCTTCACAGAAATGTTCCAGCCTTTGCTAGCTGCGGCTGCTTTCACATCATCCCTGATAGAAGCCTTATGAGGCTTCACATTATCCTCCTGAATGAAAATCTCTGGAGGGTTAGGACTAGAGCCCTTTGGCCAATTCTCGTAGATTGCAGGCAGTACCTTGTCAAGCAAATTCTGTGGCTTGGTAATCAGGGTTCTTCCTTTGGGGAAATTCACAGATAATCTTTTGGCTGGTTCTTTTACAACAAAGGGCCAAATACCAATCTTACCATCAAACCAAGCTCAATTGTTTGTATCCCAACATGGACAGGCTGTTGCACACTGCATACACAAAAACATAACCTTGGTTATATGGTTCTTTGACTTTGATGTAGACTTGGGCTTGGCTTCATCTGGTAGGAGATAAGTTGTATGCTTTGTGCACTTAAGATAAAACCATTTCTCATCAATATGCCACTTGAACCAATCGTCAAACCTGCCATTGTTATTGATGTGTTTCAGGATCCATTCAACTTGCTCCAGTTTATTTGTTGGTGTCAACAAGAGTTTGGTGGTCCCATTGTGCTTTTTAATATCCCCAGGTCTAAAGAGACAGTGCAAAGAAAACCTAGGAGTCCCAGTTACAGCAGAAAGAGTTCATAGATCACCATGGTCTTTCATTAGAACACCTTGGAGTGCATCTAGATCTTCTAGAGGCATTGGTTTGTGACCACATCTGTTTCTTCTGTTGGAYACATTCCCTGCAGGGCAATTGATTGGATCACAAGTTTCCTTGTATCGTTTCCAAATCCTTGAGATAGTTTTAGGTGAGGTTTGGAACACTACCGCAGCATCCTTTGRGGCTCCCCTACTACTAGCAAGAACCTTGTCTTCTCCATGACTACTTCTCAAGTTTTGGAGAAGGAAGTGAACAACAGCACTTCTTTCATTGTTAGACAAGAGTCTTAACTTCTTTTGTCTTTGTGGACTACTAGTAGTGTCACTATTGCTTGCAGTATCCCTTGCAGTCTTGCCAGTCTCGCTTGCAGTATCACTTGCAGTTGCACGAGATTACGTGTACTCTTAGTAGGTGTTAAGTGTGTATGAATATTGAAATTATAAGATTAGATATCAGATTAAGATTCTCGCGCTCCGACGCGAGCTTTCAGTAGATCTGATTAGATCATATGTAGCTCTCGGTACTAAATCTACACAGGGTTCTTATTATTCTGATCTACTGACATCTTTGTTCCGTGCGAGGTATTCTATTTCTGATATCGTGGACCTCTTACGATCCTCGGACCTCTTACGTGTTCAGTGTTCGGTCCTCTTACGATGCATCCTATGATATGTACATAGGAAGCGTACCTTACAATAGGTACGTAGGAATGGTATGATCGTTCATTCCTTTCTGCACGAGGCTTCGTATTGTACGTAATGATTCATCGGTACGTCCGTCCGTTGCAGCAGTATCACTTGCCATATCAGTTACACCAACAATCTTGCTGTTTGTGGATTTGCTTTAGAAAGGACCAGAGGGGGGGAGTGAGTTGAAACAGGCAGCTGCAAATCAAGGCACAAAGAGAGGATGATACCCCTTGATGGATTGTTTAAGAGTGGAGTCACAAGGCACATTGGCTCAACAGAGACATGTTCCCCCCCCCCCCCCGCCGCCTCTTAGTGGAGACAATGGAGACGCAATTCTTTTAAGAGTAGAGACGCAAGGTGCATTTGCTCAAACAAGACACGCTCCCCCCCCGACTCTTAGTGGAAGCAACAGAGTCACGAGGCAAGTTGTCCGTTTGCTTCCCCCCTTGCTCTTAGTGGAAGCAACAAGAACGGAGACGCAAGACACGCTTCCCCCCCCCCCCACGCACGCGCACGCCTCTTAGTGAAGTTGACAGATCCCCTCTTAGTGGACGTGTGAGGTGAGGCACTGCGTCTATGAGTCACTTGAGGTGCAAAGAAGCTAGATAATATAAATTGCTAAAAAAATGCTAATTTACTAGTAGTAGTAGCATTCTATTAGTAACAGGAGCGTAGTGGTGGTAGTAGTACTAAACCCATTTCATGATGATACTAAAGGGCAATTCCAGTTATTATAGTAGAATGCTAAATTATCATTTTTAGCAATTTATAATATCAGGAATCAAAATTTCAAGGGACAGATGGCAAGGAAGGCAGGCTTCATCTCACCAGTCTTTTTGAGAATCTGGTGGAATCTTGAATAGTTTGTAGTAATGACTAATGACTAGTAAAAAGAGGTCTGGGTAGGTACCGGCGGTAGGGCTTTCTGTTGAATCTTACAAAATTTTTATCCTTGGGTTCCATCATACCACTAGTAGATCTAGCACATTTAGATGGGGTCGGTTGACCCATTCTAAAAATGCTAAATCTATGACAACATGTCATAGATTTTTGGTCTGTCTGTCTATCAAATTTTGCATTTCTATTAACGGGAATCACCATCTCTATTGGGCGATTCCCGTTAATCTAGATGGTCTACTTTTTGACAGACAGACAGACAGACAGACAGACAGACCGACCAAAAATAGACTTTCTAGTCCAAATTTTTAGACTTTCTGTCAACGCACAATCCACCCTTGACAGAAAGTCTAAATCTAGACCGGAATCCAAGAATGAAAATCCGTTGTAKGACTCAACTGAAAAGACCCGCCAAATTTAAGACTTAAAATTTTTTACTACGCCATGGAAGGAAGAAGACATAAACACAGAAACAAAGATGTTGAGATTCCAAATTCCTTTAAGACCAGAACAAGCACCTAAAACTGTCTGTTGGGCCCCTGTTTTTAATGATTCCCTTTAAACTAAAAAGTCTAAACGGTCTACTTTAGACTTTTAGACCATCTAGATTAACGGGAATCACCCATTACCAGGAGGTCGCAGAGCAGCTGAATTTTCATGCAAAACTCTCCTTCGTGGAAGAGACGGACAGAGTCGCTCTGCTGAGGATTGATTCGGGTGAGTTCGTGAATGAGTAACTTGTCCCACATGTATTTTTGAAAATGACTATTCGTACGTTAAAGCGCATTCCCCGCCTAATCATTTCTAATTGTAGGCTGGCTTGCGCATATTYATATGGCGAACGCGCCATCCTTTTAGTAACACAGTACCCGAACCACGACTTTCGCATGTCGGTTGAAGAGCATTATGACAGTCAACGGATGCGCCGCAACAAATTTTCGGAACGCAGACAAAACCCCCTCCTTTCTAACGGAGGAATGAATTCAAATAGGTGCCGTCGCACAGTATGCAAGCTAAGTCTCTTGACTAATGAACCAATAGTCAACTCCACGCTCACGCCAAAGACTAGACAGCAGTACGCGTACTTCTGCTTGCCCATATCATTTCAGTTTAAACCGAAGGGACACGGTATCAATCGCTCGAACGAGTTGACCAGTATTTGCAATACATAACTATCACAGAGCTCGGAATCTTCACGCTTAGAAGTTGCACGAGTCTCGTCCCATTTGACCACCATCTTCGCAAGGAACACTTCATTCTCAACTGAGAAACGGAGTGCGGTTCATAGTGTCATTTTCATCGGCAGGAGTTCTTACACGCAGCGAGGTTTGGGTGAAAAACAACAATAGGATCCAAGGAACAAAAAATACACGGCGACCATGGGAGATACCGTTAGCACGTTGCTTTTTCAGCCACCACCTCCAACGAAACTGAAGGAGAATAAGATTATATGGCTGAAGACACCTCACGGGAAAAGAATTCCCGGGTTTTACATACACTATGGAAAGTTCAATGGAGAATATGCRTCGCGCTCATTAACAGTAAAAGAGTTACAAGCAGCTAATACATCAGAGGGGATAACAATATTATATTCACACGCAAATGCTGAAGATCTGGGGAGCATMTATCCATGGTGCAAATTCCTGAGCAAAATGTTGAGGGTGAACCTATTTGCATACGACTATACCGGGTATGGAATGGCCTACGATCAAGGTTAGTAAGAAAAGCGATACCAAGCGCAACGATTGAGAACTGCAGCGATAGCGATCCTACTTTGAGTAGGAACGAACGCAACTGCATTTTTGAAACTTTTTTCACACACTCACTTGATTSATTCTCTTCTTCGTCACAGGGAAACCATCGGAGGAGTTCTGCTATGCGGACATTGATGCGGCCTACAAATTCTTACGATACGATTTGGATGTCCAAGCGCAAAATATTGTTTTGTACGGGAGATCATTAGGTTCTGGTCCCAGTTGTCATTTAGCAGCCGGGACATCACAAGCAGAAGATCCTGATTCCGGGGGGCCGGTCGGAGGTTTGATCCTTCACGCACCATTTTTATCAGTATATCGCATTGTGCTGGAGACGGGATGCACAGTGTATGGTGACAAGTTTCCGAACATCGATTGTGCGCCGTTGATAAAATCTCCGACAATTTTGGTGCACGGYACAGCGGATCAAATCGTTCCATTCAATCATTCAGAGCGGTTATATGAGGCTCTGCCAACGGATTCAAGAGCCCGGCCGTTGTATATCGAGGGAATGGGTCACAACAATGTACACTCTGTGGTGAGACCGATGTTCGTTGCTCGGTTAAACGAATACCTGGACGAGGAGGTTTGGCCGAAAATCAAGAATTCGAAAAAACTGCAAGGAAACAGACGATAAGAGTGATTGGGATTCATATATTCATTTATGCCTATCCAATTGCTACAATGGATGAAACATGGTGAAACTGAATTRATATCTTCTTGTTCTGTAGTCGATTCAACACGACGACACCTCCTGGTACGCGAAACTAAATCGCGATGATTTTGTTGTGCTTGGGAGAGTCCAACCTTGTTTTGAAGGATGGATTGGTGCTTGGCGAATCCGCCAGCGAATTAACAACAAATCAACTACAGATGCCGTAATGTATATATCATGTATACTATAGTACACACTGAAAAGAAACTTTTCATTTTCCGCAACAGTAGCCRATGCCTTTRTTAGCATTGTTGACCAGTTGAGTCTGTAGCGACGTGGAATGGGAGCTCCTCAGAGCAGTGCCCTTGAGATATTGAATAGTTTCARATCGGGAATGGAAGYATTCTCGGTTCGATAACGCTGCTTCTACCGGCAGATGACAGTAGATCARAAATCTTCCAAACTATAGYAATTTGACGAAATCACTCTAGATTATGGGTTGTACCATATTTCGTGCAAACACTGAGCTGAAGTCTCACATGTAGTATGTGGCGTGTAAACTTAAAAACAGACTGAGTGAGAACTGTGATGTGATGAATCGCAAATCAATTATCCAAAGTCTAAAAAAWTCCAATGGTAGAAGGATGATCGAAGAAGAAGCCCCATGAAGTTAGTGGAATTCAAATCTTCAAATTCTCAGTGTGGGGTAATGGCAATTTTTAACATTCCTGCCGATCGGTGATATATTTGGTCGGTGCATAACTTTAGTATATTCTATAAATTTTTCTTCTTCGGCTATCGATCGCAACGTTAAATTGCCAATGGGTCTCTACAAGTAACAGAGCTGATAGAGCACTTTGATTGGTGTATGTGTCATTTTTTCCCTTTCAAACTCGTCCAAAATCTCTGGAGCTTCGGTTACCAAATCTTCTGAAGCCTCCAAACGCCAACACAAATCCAAAGCAACTTGACCTTGCAACTGTGCTTCTTCTGGATTATCCTTTGTGTCGAGACAAATGACATGGATCGGGGCAAAGTTTTCAGTCGGCTCTCGAATTTGTAAATCTTCCACAACTGCGTCATAAATTCTTTCTTCGAAGGCAATAACGACGTCGTGTTCCGAGATGAGATCGGATGGCATGTCTTGCCATCGTTGTGGCGCTCGCTTCACAGCAGCACCCCTACGACAGAGATGAAGCACTGTATTACGAGTGAAAAATTCTTCGTCCTCTCGCGTTTTTGTCATCGAATTATACATTTCTTCATAGGGAACCCCGAACTTATATATTCTAGGTTCTTCCGTTTCATTCCAATATGTGCCAATGCCRTGAATACAATGCGTATGAGTGAAAAGGTCGCTCGAAAGGCCCGCTATAATCAACGATCTCTGAAAAAGATGCGAATCCGATCTTTCCAACCGGATAAGGAGAGAGGAATATGAAATAGCTTGTGCTAAGGACTTACCCATGGCAGTTCGACCAGGAAGACGAACTTGTGTACCGGTTCCGTAACTTTCGACGCGAAGGCCTATCGCGACATCAGGCATACAATAAAGTAACATTTTCTCTGAATGTGAGTCGTTCTTGCACGKTGAAAGACAAAACATGGTCTTACTTTTCATTATCGACAACGAGCGATCTAGTCCCACACATATTACCTGCATTTCCCAGAACSACGTGAGCCTCCATGGATCGATTGATATTACTTGAGCACACAACTCCAAACGACAGTTTGCTGGGGGCATGATGCGACTCTGGTGGAGGAAGACCTGGTGGTGTTGAAGGGCGCGGAATATTTTCATAAGCGCCTGGCATTTTTCAAGCTCTTTATCTGGTGAAATGATTCGAACTCTGACACTCTTTCTTTTGCTATCATGAAAT